GAGAGAGAGAGAGAGAGAGAGAGAGAGAGAGAGAGAGAGAGAGAGAGAGAGAGAGAGAGAGAGAGAGAGAGAGAGAGAGAGAGAGAGAGTGTATTTGAGAGAGAGAGAGAGAGAGGGGGAGAGAGAGAGAGAGAGAGAGAGAGAGAGAGGGTTTGGGATGGATGAGCAGCGGTAAGGGGAGGGCGAGGTGTACCGCTACCAGCACAGGTCCCACTGGCAGTATGGTGAGGAGGCGACAATTGAGAGTGATTGATGCGAGTGTGTAGAGGTGGAGCAACCGACATCGCCGGCAGATCTGCAAGAGAACCGACCGACCGCCACGTCACGTCGGCCACTCCTGTCGATGGATCCGGATCCCGATCCCAACCAGTGCGTATCCACGTGGCAGTCGCTCGTCGGAGGTCATGCGTGTGCTGGGCGTCTTGGCCCAATCCAGTGCCTATCCACGTGGCGGTCGCTCGTCGGAGGTCATGCGTGTGTGGGGTGTCTTTGCCCATTACCTGACAGCTTCGCTTGTCGGCTGCAGCCAGCTCGAGTAGTAGTCGATGACGCCAACAGTCCGTCTCCAAAACAGTAAGAGGACGGCTACGCTTCACTGCACAACGCTCTATATGTATCTCGAGCTACCAGTCGTCCTGATACATTCAAAACGTCGACTCCTCGGAGTGCACCTGGGCGAAAAAGGCGTCCAAATGCACGAATAATAATGCTGAGTAGTCGTGGAGTGAGGCCCGTCGAGTAGTAGAACAGACTGATGAATGAAAGGGATAGCAGATGTCTTTTCAATCGCTGATTGGGATTGGGACAAGGCCCTGAAACGAGTGCGGCCCGGATTGCATTGGTTCGAACTCCGACAGGATTTATTTATTTATTTATTTATTTATTTATTTATTTATTTATTTATTTATTTATTTATATTTTTTTAACCTGTCGAAATTATTTTCTTTCTTTTTGTTCGGAAAGATTGTAATCTTTATTGCAAAGCACACACGACCCGGAGATACTGGGGCCAAGTCCCACTAGCAGCATTGAGCTACCTCAACGCCTGAATCTGGACGCTTTTGGGGAGATGTGCAGAAATGGTGTTGAGTTTCCTGAACTTCACGTCCCCACAAACACGTCCAGATTCAGGCGTTGAGGTAGCTCAACGCTGCTAGTGGGGCTTGGCCCCTGGGGGCAATCTCCAGCTTATGCTATGGGCCTGGCTGCACTACTCTCCGCAAGCCTTGCTCTCGCACCACAGCTGTGGTCCCCACCTTCCCCGTGGGCTGGAGAGAGATCCGGGTTGGTTGGTGTTCCCCCGGGCACGGTTCCACTACCACACGAGTCATGGCCTAGTGCGACGCCTGTGACACTCCACAAAAACGAAGAAAACTCCAGAAAAAAGAAGAAAAGAGAAAAAAAGAAAATTAAAGTGGTGACTTCTCAAGTCCCAAGGTGGGGACGAGCCCGACCTTTGGAAGTGCTGCAAAAGGCTGTGCCTATCTTCTTGAACGGTAGAATGGACAGTGGATCAATGTATCCCTCACAGAACGTAGCCAGATTCACTTCTTCCATCTTTCTTTATTGCCTGAGGGTGCACCTATGACAAGTGCTGCGTGACGATTGCAGTCCGAGTCTGACGTACCAAGAGAGGGAGCGGAGTCCCTTAGTGTGCCTGACGGGACTGCCTCCTGTGACGGTTCCCATGTTCAAGCGTGAAGTCCTTATATTTTGAGAAAGAAATAAAGTAATTAAGTACTCGAGGGGCTTTCTATTGACCGGAAAAGAAAGCACGGTCAATACGAACGACTTAGAGTACTTGATTTTTTTTTTGGTTTTCGACAACCACCAATCAAAAACAGACTTGGTATTTCTTTTTTTTTCTTTTTTTTTTTTAATTGGGGTGATCACAACTGTCTATATTCTTCTCTCAACTTCTGTAGTGGTTGGTATTTCTTTTCCCCACATCCTGTTATTCACCAAAAAAAAAAAAAAAAAAAAAGTAAATTAAAACACAAATTTTAAATATACAAACATCTTTATTTTGCTACCCTCCGATTTCAATGCAGCAACGGCCGGTGGATGTCCCCCGGACGTCCCACAGGTGTCGCCGTGCGACAATATACCTTACTCGGTTGCTAGTGGAACCGTGCCCCCGTACTATGCATAGACTACCTTCTTTCGTGAACACAACTCGGTTGCTAGTGGAACCGTGCCCCCGTACTATGCATAGACTACCTTCTTTCGTGAACACAACGCAACTCCATCTTGGCTGTACCGGACCGGAAATATAGCTTGGTGCGTTATGTTCGGGGGAAGACGGCAGTGAGAGGATGAGATAGATGCATACTACCAAGAAGATGAGATAGATGCGTACTATTTTTTTATTTTTATTTTTATTTTTTTTGGGAAAAAGCACGGAAGTCCATTATCATGAAAAACATGAGGCCGGGAATTCCTCACAAACAACCCGGAAAAATCATGTCACAGTACTGGGACTTGTACCCAGTTTCAGATCGTGGGCCTTACCCCAACAACACTTGGTATTTCTCCAATCATCCTTAAACGGTTAAAACTAGAATAAAAGAAACCCAAATTTAAGTAAAAATTCGGAAGCAAAACAAACTATCAAAGAATAACCTTCCTACTTCTACCTACTTCTAGTAGTCTACTTACTTCTACTACCTACTACCTCCGTCTAAGCCGACGGAGTGGATCACTATGGATCCGTACCCACCGTGACACTCTCTAGCCCTCTCATTCCCTCCTGCCTCCTACTGCGGATAGTGCACTGCATCTTTCCATGTTCTAGGCGTGGATTCAGTCTCATTTCGCACCTTTGGAGAGCAGTGCAGCCGGTCACCACCAGGGGCTTTCGCACATTTGGAGAGTAGTGCAGCGAGGCCCTATCGCTGGAAACCGGGTTCAGCGTCCCATGACTTTCCGAATCTCAATCTTCCCAAAATAGCCCAGAAGCTCAAACAAGGACAGACTAGACATCTGGTCACCACCATTGAGTCTGGCTGCACTACTCTCCACATCCCATAAATTCTAGTACTGGTGGTGGCAAAACGCCAAAAGAGGGAAAAAAAACAAAAACAAAAAATTATCTTCTCGCGTTTTGTCGTCACAACGATCAGAAATTCTAAACATATGGTACAACTTTTCGGTCATACCATAAAAAGCGGCTTCATTATCCTCGGTCTCTGTCGCCTCGCTTAGCAAAAGATCGAGAATTAAAGTTAAACCCTTTTTTTTTTGCCAAGTCTAACCCGAAGCCGCATTATGTTTCTGCCCTGTGTGGATCCGGTTTGCACGAGTCCGGTTTAAAGGCGTGGATCCGGTTTGCACGATATGCGAGAACGTGCTCTGGCCTTCGGACCTTCGTTTTGTGTGTCAAATTTGATAAGCCGATCTTGATTCAGGGTGTATAGTTTAGTTGGTAAAGCATTGCGTTAGATTCAAATCCTGCCAGAATCTCATTTCGTGATGAAAGAATTTTGTGAAACCAGTGAAGAATTCGCCGCGAAGACTCAAGCTCGTCATGAAAGGGGATCACTGGAATAGGCAGCCCTTGGTTGAACCCTGACTGTCTATCTGATACGCAGCTAAACGGAATACTCGTGAGCGTCAGAATCTTATAACTTGCTTATACCGAATATACCATAAGTGGTAATTTAACTTTTTAACTTGAAAGCTAGGTTACCAATGGTCCGGGGGCCGGTCATCTCCCCCGGACGTCTCCCCCATACGTCCGGTACCCCCGTCGTCCGGGAAAAAAAGTTTTTTTTTCGTAAAAAAATTATATATATATTTTTTCGGTTTTCGATTTTTAACTCATGATTGACTGCGCATTTGAACATGACTCCAAGGCAAAAGTTGCTTGTATTGTTATGTTACATAACATATATTGTTTTCAGATTTTTCTGAGAACTTTTTTTTTTTTTTTTTTTTTTTTTTTTTGGCGCTAGGTCGGACAACCCCTGTCCGATCAGACCAGACGTCCGGTCGGACATCCCGGACGGTCAGGGGGGTCCCGGACGTCCGATCCAACAACCTAGGTTGAAAGTCCTTCTGTATTTTTGACTTCGAAACACAATCGAATTGAAGAGTATGCCTTCGATCCGCGCACCCATGAACTATTCAAATACACTTGAAATTTAATCCAATAATAAATATTGTCTAACATGGAATGTGTCCGCTATATACAATTGTGGGGAAGAGGGTGTCGAGCGCATCAACCCAAGTGCACACCTAACCGGTGGTGCGCACGAGGGTCCTCCCAGTTGCGCCATGCAAGATGTGGCCTACTCTGTCACGTACTTACAAAAAGCGGGGTTCCGCAACGACCGAGTGCGCCAACCATATTTTTCGGACTCCCTGTAAACAGGGTATTATGAGGTACAACTTACCTCCATCTAAGGAGTTGTTACCATCCTTACGTGAGTGCATCCCTACCGAGCTACCAACCCACATGTGGTGGTTCTACTTGTCATATCATAGATGAACTAGCCTTGGGCATTGTTAGTCGCTGCAACATAGGGGAACGTGCGGTAATATGCCCAAACCCTTAACAAAATCGTGAATCATTACTTAGAGCGTTGAATTCCTGAGTAGATTGCGTAAGCTCTACCTCGCGACTCAACTAAATCTTGGTCAGATATGGCCCATAATTTTGAGGCTCATACTGGCCTGCGCAACCTTAAATATAACAAGGAGGCATGAACGCTCCATATATAATCCTTCAATAAAAAAATGATTCCCTCGATGCGGCTTAGGTACAAATACTGCGAGGAGTCGACCCTCAACCACACACCCATCCTATGGACGGATCTTGCCGAACCAATATGAAATAGATAAGTAGAGCTAGGGGATGTCATTGCATCTATACAAACAAAAAAAAGAATAATTGCGAACCACATAGGCTCTTGGCCTTAATCATGTATAAAAAATGACGGGCTCTTGACCCATAGTGACCATAAAAGTAACGGATCTCTGACGAAACAAAAACCAAAGTCAAGCAAACAAAAGGTTGCATCTTATCAAGATACTTCAACCAAGGTTCTTGATAGCAAACTTTTTTCATTGAGCAAAATCAAAGTGAAACCTTATTAACTTGTGGATACAATCAAATAACATTACATAATCCACACAAAGTTAACTCCTTATTCATCACTGTCAAAACCTTTCATAGTCCATCCCAGTCCGACTCGGTCACTCAAGAACCCTTTGAACTAACACGGACCTTTTAGACGATGGTCCGAAAGACGAAATGTCATTTTCTGTAAAATTTACTATAGGGTGAGGATATCAAGGATTAGGTGCGGGTTTTAGTGTCAAACCAATTTGTTATTGTACGATAACAATAATTCAGGTTGTGTCCCTCTCTTCGCAGAGCGCGTTGTTGATTGTTACGCGACACACGATAACAAAAAAACAGAGCTAAAAATCTTTCATAGTCAATCCTAGTCTGACTCGGTCACTCAATAACCATTTAGACGATGACCCGAAAAACGAAATGTTATTTCCTATAGAATTTACTATAGGGTGAGGGTATCACGGATTAGACGAGGGTTTT